GGTTCACCTGTAAAATATGGACAAATATCCCCCACTTGGCTGTCAACTACATAGGGCAGGACAAAACCCAGGGTTTCTCTTGGAAAAACCAGAAAGTTGGTTAACCATTGTGTTTTGCTTTTGGTCACTAGTTTTTTTCTGGAGAGATTGATTTCTTTGAGAAGGTTGGTTTTTCCAAACATGATCAGCAGGGAAGCAACAGGTTCTGAGTAGACCACGTGAGGCATCAGCTTCATTGATAAAGGCCATCTCATGAAACTGAAGCACGTGGTTGAGGATGAGAACTTCCATATGAGCACTGCTGAACTGAGGTCAGTCTCCAGAAAAGGAGGAGGGATTTGCCCATTTCTGAGCATTTCTGGACCAGATTTGTGGAAACTCTGGAGGGAGAACTGTCATGTGGAGATCTGCACAGCTAAAGCCAGGGCTGAAGGAATGGCTGTGCCACCCACAATGCACCACTTGGCTTGTGCTATTTTTCAATTTAAGTGAAAGAAGAGGAAACAAGTCTTATCAAGCATGAAGAAAAAATTCTTTCAAGGTGATTGAAAGATTTTTTAAGCTCCTCAAATGTGGGAATAAGTAGAAACTTGTGAGTGAGTTTGGCCAAAGTATTTACATTCTCTTAGAAACAATATCTGAAGCAAGGCAGCTGATTCCTGTTGCTGACACATGTCCAGCAGAATTCAGAGAGGAAATTCTCTCTTGTATTAAAAGAGAAAACATGCCTGTGGGTCACAACCTCCTCTTAACTCCTCAGGCTTGTTTTCTACATCTGACTGCCTTTGGGCACATGCCTATGTGCTGCTCACATAGTTTTTAACAGTGTCCCATGAGAAGGGGAACTTGGAAAGAGCAAGATTTCATTCCCAGTACTACCAAAGGGTTTCTTGTGAGCCCTGGAGCATCTAATTTCATCTGCACTGTTCACATAATTGAAAAATAAATAAATAGCACTTACTTATTCTTCTGTAGACTAAGAAAATGAAAATATTATGTACATATGTACACTGAAATGTTGCACTAATAAGCATCAAAAAGAATCATCCCTAAATATTCACAGTGAGCCATAGATAGTCACATCAAAGTGTTTGGTTATCTTACATGAAGTTTGATTCTTTCTCTCACAGGTATTACAGTATGCCTCAACTCTATGACCAGAACTTGTAAAAGGTGAACATCAGTTACCAGTATTACTGATTTAGGGGAAAAAAAAAAGTTCAAAAAACCCCAGAACAAACCAAACAAAACAAAACAAACTTGAAAGAGCTTTGAAAGACTCCAGTTTGGACTTCAGGACTTAGCCTGTTATAGTTTCAGTCTATGACTGTTGCATTGGACATCTGATTATCCAGAACTCTCGAGTAATATTCAGAGTGGAAAACACTAGATGTACCAGGAAAGCTGTTTTTATAATAGAACCATAATTCACCAATTTCTCTCAAGATCAGTGACCTTAAGAATTGTATTTTGAAAGAAATTACAAGACCCAGTGGTAATGGATGCAAGACAGAGTTACATAAAATACTAACTCAGCTGCTTTCCTCATGGATCCTTTAAAATCTGTGATCCCTGAAATTAAGTATTTCTAGATATTATGAAGTGTTCAATTTACTAGTGCAGTTTGTATCCTCTGTCAAACACAAAATAAAAGATTCCCAGAATTCATAAACTTGTCAAATGCAAGAGCTGGCATAGACATACGTGGGTTTCTTCTAACTGTCAGGTTCTAGAGAGCTTTAATTTCTGAGAATGTTTCTCTCCCTAGCTTTTTATCTGCTCTTGTATGTGCATGCTGCTCTGGCTCTACTGTACTTTTGTTGATATAAAGCCTAAGATATATAATAGAACAACAAGAAGTTCAGCCTCTGTATAATCTTTGTATAACCTCTGTGTTACAGGGTGGAAGATGCTTCCTTTGAAGTAACTTCAGTTTTATAAACATAAACATTAGGAAGCTGAAAAACATGGGGAAACAAGTGAAAATAATGGTCATGCAGAGGTCAAGTGATAGAAAACTGAAAACATGAGTGACTGCAGAGCTCTACAAGAGAAGCTATTCAGGACACAAAAAAAGAGGAAAAGCTTCAGAGACTGTACCTACTTGAAAGTCAAGATTTAAATTAAAACAAGAGATGTTGTAGGAAGCAGGTGAACAGAGCTGACATTTTAGGGAATTAAACAGAACCTTAAAATGGAAATAGGGAATAAAAAAGTAGTGCAAAAGTATGATTTAAAAACAGTTTTAAGAGAAAAAGAAGAAAGCACATAAAGTGAATTTTTAGTAGGTTTGAAGATCAGCTATCAAGAGAAAAATCAAAATATTAACACTTAAGGAGATGATGAGGGCTACAAAACATGACTCCCAAATAGTATGGACAATGTTAAAAGTCATTGGGAAGATGAAAAGGACTTTTCTGAAGATGTCAAGTGAAAATATCACTATAATACAGCAGCACCTTAAGTAAACAGATGGTTAGGGTCAAGTATAACAACTGCATCAGCTACACCATTTCTACATTGTCAGATGAAGCATTTCTGTGTTTAGCTCTTAGCCCAAGTTGGGACAAAACTAAACTGTGCAGAACTCTGATTAGTACATGTGTGTTACTGCCAGTGCCCAGAAAGAAGACTTAAGGAAATATTTGCAACTAAAATCTCTCCAAATCAGAGAATATGCTGAACTGGAAGAGATCCACAAGGATCATCAAAGTTCAAGTCCTACCCTTGCAAGTACACCCCAAGAGTCACACCATGGGCCTGAGAGCATTGTCCAAATATTTCTTGGACTCTGTCAGCCTTGGTGCTGTAACCATTCCCTGGGGAGCCTGTTCCAGTGCCCAGCCACCCTCTGGGTGAAAAGCCTTTTTCTAAGATCTAACCTAAACCTCCTCTGACCCAACTTCAGACCATTCCCTCAGATCCTGTTACTGTCACCAGAGAGAAGGGTTCAGTGTCTGCCCCTCCTCTTCTCTTAGTGAGGAAGTTGCAGACTGCATTGAGGTCTCCCCTCAGTCTCCTCCAAGCTGGACGGACCAAGTGACCTCAGCTGCTTTTCATTCAGCTTCCTCTCCAGACCCTTCACCATCTTTGTTGCTCTTCTTCGGACAACCCCAATAGTTTAATGTTTTTCTTATATTGTGGCACCCAAAACTGCCCCCACCACTTGGGGTGAGACTGCCCCAGAGCAGAGCCGAGCAGGACAGGCCCCTCCCTTGCCTGGCTGTGATGCTGTGCCTGATGCCCCCAGGACAGGGTTGGCCCTCCTGGCTTCCAGGTCACTGCTGACTCATGGTTAACTGCCCCTCAACCAGGACTCCCAGGTCCCTTTCCATGGCACTATTTCCCAGCAACTGCTTCCCCACTCTGTTCATACATTCAGGGTTGCCTCAGCCCAGCTGCAGAATCTGGCATGTTCCTTTGTTAAACTTCATGAAGCTGGTGATTGCCCAGTCCTCTAATTTGTAAGGAATTATACCTATAGATATAGATATGTATATATATATGCAGTGCATACCCCTTGGATAACCACAGTAGTTTTGTTTACAGAAGCAGCATAGGTTTCTTTGTGAAGTCTAAGATATTAGATAACCTCTTTGATGTCAGGTATGTTCAGCCAACATCTGCAGTTTCTATGAAATATATAAAATACCAGTGTGATATCACTATGGACGCACATCTTCTGCTTTATATTTTGACAAATGTATTCCAACTTCAATTCTACTTAAGCATTCAGTTTTAATTTAGAAAAAAAGCCATATAAATTATCTTCAATAGATTTTAGCACCAACTTCCTTTGAAGGAGAAACTAATATAGAAAACTTCTGCAATGGATATTTACCACAAATTTTTTCAATAATGATTTAAATGTTTCAATCAATATGGTTTCAGAGCACGTCCCTAGTGAGATCATCATTCCCTAGTGAAGTCATCAGCTATTCAGCACTGCAAGCTCATCTACAATCCTAAATGAAATCACATGATATCTATATGGAACCAGTCCCATTTTTTTTTAGCAAATAGGCATACTGAAATTTTCAAGGGAGAAGAACCAAGTCACAACAAGAATAGTTCAGAAATATATAAAAATTAACTCCTGATTTTAAAATCAGACTATCAGAATGACCATATTTGATCCTGTTTAACTATAGCCCCAGACTGTATTGAGACAATGCTTTTATTTTTTTTAATTTCCCTTTGTTACAGGAAATTTGGATACCAAGATGAGAAAATGCTAAAAATTTCTCAGGTTCATCTTAGTTTCACAACTGAAACCAAGCTCAAGACTCTTCTAGAAAATCTTATTACTGTAATCAACTAATGATGTCACCAACTACAACACAGACACAGGGCCAGTACTGAAACTGCTTTAATTACTGTTTGAAGCCCCATGGAAGATGTGATAAAGCACTAACAATCTGGGATTTCCACACCCTTAAGTGATAATCTGCAAAGCTCTAAAATTTCTTTATGTAGCTACTCCAGCATAAAAACCAGAAAGATAACACCAAGAATTTACACAGCATCACTTTTGACTTATATAAGTACAAAAAAACCCTCATAAGTTTATTACTACAGGTGCAAGTTATTTTGCTTAAATTGGTAAAAAAATCCCCCAAACATATAAATTTAGAGAATAATAGGTGAAGAACGTTAATAATGATCTTTAATTGAAATTTTATTTTTTCATTTTTCAATTATATTTTGAATGAGAAAGTATTGCTGAGAATGCCAAATAAGCAAAAAAGACATTAATTAGCTAAATAAGACTACATAGCAAGATGAACAAAAATGAGAATGAAATGCTTCTAAACTTAATTTAGGCAGAGGGCATAATAATTTTGAAACTTAATAAAAGGTAAACAGAGTTTTAAGAGTCACTTTTCAATTCAATTGACATGTAATATGCTCCATTTACATGCAAAACCTATCTGGGCTAAATAAGCTACCCACAGTTGGAAGAGGTTCAATTTTCCAATTATAGCTAATAGACTTCTTACTGTAAATTGAGAGAAGAATCACGTGCAGTATAACAGCTTGTGGTGGCCAGGTAAGTTGAGAAGGAGCAGGTCATCAATAACAAGCAGGATCTGGAATAGAAAGAGCAGCTGTTTTTCAAATGGGGGGAAACCAGTGCAGAGAGAACTGCAGGGACAGATCCTGGGAGCTGCTGTGTGCATCAGGTGTGCAGGGTGGGTATGGGAGAAAAAGGAGGAAATAAGGTGAGAATCATTTAGCACTCAGCTACAGCCAGGAAGGGGATGATTTTCCTTCTCTGCTGCATTTGACTCATGTAGAGGCACTGAAGCCAGAGACACCATGTCAGAGTAAAGGAATGGACACAGAATCATATTCTGATTTTTCAGATTTTAAATCCATATTCTTGGAGAGGGTAGCAGTCAAAAGAACCTAAGAAGCAAAAGATTAAATTAGCCTTTCTGGAGGATTACTTTTAAAACTGTATGAAGACAGAAAATCATAATAATATCCAAATATATCTTCATGTATGTTATACCCTTTAACCTTCACTAAAAATACAGGTGTTATTTCAGCTCTTCTACCATCATTACAGGGATTCTTCAATCAGTTTTGCTTGTCAAGGGCCCTGCTTGGATAGTCAGGAGGAGTCAGGCTGCTTCATCTGGGTGGTGTTTCAGAAGCGTCTCTGGCTCCAGCCACAGGCACACATTCCAGGCTCTGGAAACCCTTCCTTGTATTAGCCATCCTTATCTCCCTGTCTCAAACTGAAGCCTCAGAGGTATGTTGTGCCCAGAAAATGCAGGAACAGAGATGTGGAGCAGTCCATAGGGCATTTCATGCTACAGTCAGCTGCTCTTGGCTGAGCAATATGCAGAGACCTCCAGAGAAACAAAAGCCTACTGCACACACACCTACAGTGTTTTACAGGAAAGCCAGCAGGATTTGCACTGTTCTCTGATAGGATTTCATAAGAGGTGAGAAATGCAGATTTTCTAGAATAACCTTAATTATTAGCAGTGTTAATTGTGTTCTGCACTGTGTCACAAGGGAAACCTCTCCCAGCAGTATCTTAAAAACAATTAACGGGAAAAAAGAACTTTTTTTTCCCTGCTACTGTTGCAGGTGCAAGTGCAGAATCTGTGTAGAAAAGGAAAGAAGGAGAGGGGAGAATGGGTTGCAAACAACATAAATGATTCACAGCTAATTTCTTTACTTATTTTGTGTAATAAGTAATTTTATATTCTTGTTGGGTTTTGTTTGGTTGGGGGTCTTTTTTTGTGGGTTTTTTTTTGGGTGGGGAGGGGGAGGTTTTCAGATTTAAAGAATAAAAATGAGATGTGAAAAAGATTGTGAAAATGTTATTTTACTAGCCTGTACAATTCATATATTCAGCCAGTGTCATGATAAAAATGGGAGAAGCAACAGCAATAGAGGTAAGAAAGAACTGAAAATACATGAAGGAAAGGAAAGGTAAGTAGAAAGAAATTAGGGCTAGACAGAGAACTATGTCTTATCATGGTACTATCTTTTGATGTAAAGGTTTCCACTATCTGCTTCAACAAAAGACTGTCTTATACAGCCTAAAAAAAGGTTAAGTCAGAAGGCAAGGGCAAAAGTGGAATGTTAATACAAGCAAAATATATTCTTTTGTGAAAGGTGTGACAAGCTCTCCTTCATTGTTTTTTTCTAACTGAACTTTGAGAGAAGCACATTTTCATGTGAATTCAGGATTTCTTCTGCAGCGTGTCAAGTGTTTTTCCCAACATATAACATCAAAGTGAGTGTGCAGATAGATTAGAAGGTTACCCAGCCTCAGTCAGGATTTATAACTGTTGGTAGCTAAATGACTTTTTTTAAAATTTTTTTATTTTTTTTAAATAATACACCTTGTATTGGAAACCTGAGGTTTCCAGTATTCAGTCTTCATCTCTGATCTGAAAGGTAAGGAAACCTTCAGGCTGACATCATGGGCAGAACAGAGAGGTAGTAGGGCCAAGATTAAAGGAAGCAAGGTTTCAGAGTGTAATCTGAAAACTCACAAAGAATGCCTTCTTGCAAATACTGACATACTGACAGGAGGCACTTGCCTTTTTTGCTCTGCTGTTCATTCTGCACACATGGACAGGGCCCTGTACTTGGGATTCTCCCAGGCTCTTGAAAGGTCCAACATCACACATAGGTGTGCACATTAATATCACTGCTGACTCACTTTGGCAGCTGAAACATTGATTGACTGAAGGTGTTTTGCTTTCCCTTTCCTGGACAGTGCTCTATGAGGTCTTGCAGCTCTTTATCAGAGCACTCAGAGGAGCTGAAAAAAACTTGGTCCATTGGCAGAGACACCTCTAGGAACAGCTTCTTCCCAGTGGCCAAAGAACACCACAAAGAAAAATACAAATACTAAGAAAATTGTTCTGAAAATCTTGCCAAAACTTGACATACTGGATTTGCAGAGTTTTTTGCAATTACTGTATTTATTGGAAAGATATTTATAAACACACATACAGTGATTGTATACGTGTGCATATGTATTGCACATATTACTGCATGTGTGTATCTAATTACACCTGCTATATACATATTTATATAAAATAAAATGAGGCTTTATTATTGCTGAGCTATGTTGCCAGAACTTCAGGTTGCAATTTAGAGCAGAAATGACAGGAAATCATGAGGTAACCAGCACATTTGCAGCATATAACTTGACCAGGTCTCTTCCAACTACTGTTGCAAATAAAAGATAAGACTGACAAAACACAAATCCATTACCAAACACCTTTCAGCCCATTCTGTCTTTCATCCTGTTTTTCCATTTTACATATTTCTACTTATAGGCATTCTCCAGTTTATGCTGTTCCAACATGGGATATAACTAACAGGCATTTTTTATGAAAAAAATTAATTACATTAAGGGGAAGCGTGTGGAGATGTCTGGAATGCTATCCAGCTCTCACTACAGTTAATAAACACATCATAAAGTCCTGTTAAATTTTACTATTTTACAATGCTCCTTCCCCAAACTGTTGATTATATACAGCATTTTTGCTGTGTGCTAGAGGCTGACACACAAGAACACACAGGAAAATAAATCTGAAAAGTCAGTCTTGGGCTGAGATTATAACTAAATTTGAGCTGATGCCATGCTTAGCTTAATGACACAACCTGAAACGAAGGCTAGGGAGAAAACCAGAAGAGCTGTACCAGTGGCTGTACAACACAAAGGCAGTGCCCCTGCAGGTCAGGCAGTGGGGCAGAGGATGTGGGCACACTGTGGGATGTGAGGAGTTCCCTGGAGACAGCCAGGGGTGGTTGTGTGAGTCCGAGTCCTACTGAGACCTGGCCTAAACGGCAGCTTAAGGTTCTGGGTAATATAAATCAGTGTATTTATCTGACCTTATGCCTGTTGAAAATCCAGTCCAATATATTTCAGTTGATAGCAATGGTAAGTTGAGAAACGGATTTAAAATCACCACTCTTGCACTTGATGAATCAGTAGTAATGAAAATGCAACCAGCTGGGGAAAATATCCCTTCAAATGAGAGCTTTACAATGCTACCATTATGTTGTACATGTTATTAAAAAAATAGCCTAACAGGTTGATTAGCCCTTTCTAATGGAGTCCATCCATTATTAATAAAGCAATCATGTTCTTAAGGTGTGATTCTCAATTATTTCATTAACTAAATTAAAAATTAAACAAAGATGAAGAGAGAAACACTTTAGCTTCCTTAGCAGCCCTGGAGAGAAGAACCTTTTTCTCCCACAGAGTATTTACTGAATTGTTTGACAAATGGAATAACCAGCCATTACAGCTAAGGATTTTGGCTGGTGAGCCTATACCAACAAACCTACCAGGTTTGTTCATTAAGTCTGACTTATGGAAAGGCTAAAAGAGTACATCATCTCAGCAGTAGGAGAATGCAAAAAATTAGGTGCTTTGTTTGTGAATTGGCTTCATCTAGAAACAGGGATGAAAACCTCCTGTAAAAATGCTTCATCTTCTGGAAAAGGGAAAAAAGCAACTTTCTTCTAATATAAGCTCAGTAATACTTATGTACAAATCCATTTTTTTCTTATTTATATAAAACTCACAATACCTTTTTCCCATTCAGCAAATCATTCAGAAACAAAAGAGAGCTGTTCAGCCTGGCTGTCTGAAATGAAATTCTTAAATAGAGCAACAAAACTTCAAAGAACAAGGCAGCTTTTAAAACTCAAGGTGCTTCCCATTCTTCTGCTCATCTTCCCTGTGCTTACACAGACATAACACAGTCAACACATTTCCATTTTCTGGCAGACTGGTAGCCACTACCCTATGTGAGAGACAGGGATTCAGCTGATGTCCTACTATATGCAAGAGATGCATACTGATTTTTGTAGACCAGATTAATTCAGCTTATCAAATTATTTTTACATACATAGGCAGGAAGGGACAACAGCCTACAGGTTGATACTGAAGCCTTGGCTTACAATAAAATGTGTGGATGAACAATAGCCAAAAGAGGATGAAACCATGTTTATCTGGACTCCTTAACCATTGTCTGCTTATTCCTTTGCTGTTTCTGAAAGGCTCTGTGTACACTGCAGACCTACTAACAGCTACTCTGAAACCAAAACTGCCTGCAGAATATTGTCTATCAGAGACTTCTTTCAAAAGACCTAGGGGCAGGACTGAAGGGGAGCCAGGCAAGAGCTGAAGCAGGGAGAAGTGCATCAGAACAATTCCCCAGCAGCTCCCCAAGCTGCTCTTGCTGCACCCTTGCAGCCAATGCGCTATATCTCTACTTTAGAGAATGGGCTTATGGGACATTTCCTTCCCAAATTCCTTGAGGTGCCTCCCAGGCTGGCGACACAGGTGATCAGCAAGGCATGCCTTTGTGTCAGAAGTGAAGTCACCTTACTCTCTGTGCTTAAACCACTTTGCTGTCACCCAAAGCAAACAGAAAAATTGAAAAAACAGAAAATTGAATTTTTTTTTCGTATGCAGAGAAGGCAGAGCACAGAATTCAAGAAATATGGTTGCAGGAATGGTCAAATAAATGCTCATTTGTACTGGCATTCCAAGTGTCTTCTTTTCTTTTTTTTTTAAATCTTTTCCTTTCTTTGATTT